GTTCGGGCACGTGTCTGCTGGCTGTCGCCGAACTGTCACGTGGCAGAGATAAGGGATAAGAGGGACGGAGAGGAAAACCATTCCAGAATGGGATAAGGTAGGTGCACTGTACGTAGGCACCTACATACTGTCTTCCGTAACGAGAGACGCATTCGTTGAGACTGTTTTAAGCAGTTCGCCGACTTGAGGGACAACTCGGTTATAACGATTGAAGTTTCCTCGTAGCGTGGATTACATCCTCGTAATTACACGCACACCGTGCGTTACGACGCTTACGAGCAGCTGCCTTCCCCTACTGCCGGCCTGGCTCTCCTTCAACCACGAGCGAGAATATATTAAGGGAAAACTGTAATTGTACCGACGCACAGTGCGTTCCGCATATGGGATTTCGGGACAAAAATCGTAACTTCGAAACTTGGACTTAAATTCAACGACTTCAATTTTGGACTTAAACATTTTAATAATTTTTGAAAGAGAACAACAGAAGTCTAATAATGACCACTTTTTTCTATTTTTTTGCAATATCTACTAAGGTAAATGTCCCAATTTCTACTCAGTTAAGCATGGTTCCAATATCAACTGAACTTTTCTTCGTTCATACAAGCACACTTATTCTCAGGTATTCGCCGATTCGTTCAGCAATTATAACGACTAAGTCACTTTTTAAGAAACCTATGAATTTATTTAAAATTTTACAGGTTGCTTTTTAATAGTAATAGTAATCTATAATAACAAATTCAACATCTAGTATCGTTTAAGTATATGTATAGCCTATACTCTCTTAATTAAGGGCCTCGGCAGCGATCCGAAGGCAGGTAGCGTGTTCAACGGGTTACCGCGTGTACCCTTATTCATGTACACGTAAATTCGACATTTTTAATTTGTTTTGTTAATATAATTGTATCTTTTGCACCTTATTAATGTTTTGATATGCTCAGACCTGCCTTACTGAAAATTACCAAAATGCGGCACGAACTTTCCGGACCCAACCCAATATTTACCTTCAGCATAGTCCATTGGAAACAATATAGAATTTGCATTTTTACAACACTTCTTCATAAGTTGCTTGTAGGACGAACTTCGACTGAATTTTTTGACTTGTACGCAACATAGCAGAGCATCATGATTCTTTTGTTTATATCTTCAAATTACATTTCTTATTTGCTAGTAATGACAGTGGATAATCAGGAATCCTTCAATGATGATTTTAAATACCATCGCAGAAGTCGATTTTGTTATTTTCGTCCCATAACAATGCATTATGCGACGAGACGTTTTCTGGTTGCATTGGCGATTGATTTGATCTTTTTTCTTTTACATAATTTTACTTCTATATTTGTTCTTGTCTGTTTTATTGTGTCTCGATTTATATATTTGTTCTTTCCTTTTGCCATGTATTTACTTCTTATGTTTTCATGTAAACTAAAGTGGTTCCTATTAATGTCGTATTTTACTTTTATTATTATGCTGATGATCATCATCATTTAATTAGAAAAGACAATTGAATCAAATGATTCTCATTTAAGAAAATCGTCATCGTAATTAAATACTTTTAAATCTACACGAATAATCGAGTTCCTCAAGATATCACATGCATTGATAATGCTATTAATCTTACTCGTCAAATATTTGACTAAGCTCAATTCGACTCAATGAAAGCTGCATTTTACATTAAATAAGTAAACTCGTATGACACGAATGAAGTAAGAATGTTAATTCAATTCTTATCCTACGCACATCTCATAATTAGATTTTGTAATTTCTAAATCGGTAGACGATAATAAAATAGTAATAGATTTGTTACTTCTGCTAGGTATTGATAAAGCCTCAATCCCATCAGTTGGACTATCACCGAAATAAACGATCGTTCGAAAGCCGATTACAGGTCAAACTAGTTCTGAATTACATCGGTTAAACAAGCCGATCGATCAATCTGGCGGTTCGCGTGTATTTATCAACACTCTCGATAGAGTCGTGGCCCAGCCCGGGCAATAATTAATTTATGGAACGAACCGGAGTTTCATAACTCATTCGCGACACCGCGACGGCAAGTTTACGCGTTCGGGCACGTGTCTGCTGGCTGTCGCCGAACTGTCACGTGGCAGAGATAAGGGATAAGAGGGACGGAGAGGAAAACCATTCCAGAATGGGATAAGGTAGGTGCACTGTACGTAGGCACCTACATACTGTCTTCCGTAACGAGAGACGCATTCGTTGAGACTGTTTTAAGCAGTTCGCCGACTTGAGGGACAACTCGGTTATAACGATTGAAGTTTCCTCGTAGCGTGGATTACATCCTCGTAATTACACGCACACCGTGCGTTACGACGCTTACGAGCAGCTGCCTTCCCCTACTGCCGGCCTGGCTCTCCTTCAACCACGAGCGAGAATATATTAAGGGAAAACTGTAATTGTACCGACGCACAGTGCGTTCCGCATATGGGATTTCGGGACAAAAATCGTAACTTCGAAACTTGGACTTAAATTCAACGACTTCAATTTTGGACTTAAACATTTTAATAATTTTTGAAAGAGAACAACAGAAGTCTAATAATGACCACTTTTTTCTATTTTTTTGCAATATCTACTAAGGTAAATGTCCCAATTTCTACTCAGTTAAGCATGGTTCCAATATCAACTGAACTTTTCTTCGTTCATACAAGCACACTTATTCTCAGGTATTCGCCGATTCGTTCAGCAATTATAACGACTAAGTCACTTTTTAAGAAACCTATGAATTTATTTAAAATTTTACAGGTTGCTTTTTAATAGTAATAGTAATCTATAATAACAAATTCAACATCTAGTATCGTTTAAGTATATGTATAGCCTATACTCTCTTAATTAAGGGCCTCGGCAGCGATCCGAAGGCAGGTAGCGTGTTCAACGGGTTACCGCGTGTACCCTTATTCATGTACACGTAAATTCGACATTTTTAATTTGTTTTGTTAATATAATTGTATCTTTTGCACCTTATTAATGTTTTGATATGCTCAGACCTGCCTTACTGAAAATTACCAAAATGCGGCACGAACTTTCCGGACCCAACCCAATATTTACCTTCAGCATAGTCCATTGGAAACAATATAGAATTTGCATTTTTACAACACTTCTTCATAAGTTGCTTGTAGGACGAACTTCGACTGAATTTTTTGACTTGTACGCAACATAGCAGAGCATCATGATTCTTTTGTTTATATCTTCAAATTACATTTCTTATTTGCTAGTAATGACAGTGGATAATCAGGAATCCTTCAATGATGATTTTAAATACCATCGCAGAAGTCGATTTTGTTATTTTCGTCCCATAACAATGCATTATGCGACGAGACGTTTTCTGGTTGCATTGGCGATTGATTTGGAAAACTTCTGGCATCTAATACCTTCACCCCCAGGCCTGCTCGGTTTCCTGCTAATGTATATTGAATAATTTTTCGTCTATCGAATTGAACGAGTCAGCTTCTAAAAATCGTTACAGAATTTTTGTTTCACCCTGGTAAGCAATTACATGGTTTAAAATAAATCTAATGCATTTTCTCAACGTGGTATAACCCGCGATGTATAATATGCCTATAAGGCATTCATCAAATGTTGAATGCACAGGTTCATAACGAACGAACAGTTTCGCGACTATTCAACGCACGCCTCGAGTAAAAACGAAACAAAAAGAGAAATTACAATCTGTCGCAGCGTTTCCATTTTCTTTCGTCACCGCGCTCGTCGACGTCGCCGTGTCGCTTGCATGCAGTCCGCGTTCAACCACAAGCGATCGCTTTTAAAAATTCAAGCGAGCATTGTTAGCGAACACAAGAATCGACCCTTCAACGAGGTGCACGCACGTAAGTATGTAAATACGTCAACTGTTACTTATTATATCAGGTGGCGGCGGGTTGTGCCGTTAATTAAATGAAAAGCCGTGGCGCTCATTGGCAGCGTCACTGGTGGGGTACGTAGCCAGGCACCCTATACTTATACCCCCGTCACGACCCGCTTTACAGCCCCATGATATGTTGCTTTAACTGCCGTCACGCGTTGGTGGGGGGTTAAGGCGAAATACAGCCAGGATTTAGGGGCTCTTACGTTATTTAGTCCTGTGCCCTCACTCCTGCGGATAGAGTAATGTGTACGGATATAATTTAGAGATTCGGTAAGAAAGGAAATTCACTTGATGCATTGTGCAGCCGTTAAGCGTATCATTAACATTAAATTCCGGCGTGGTTCCGGTGCGTACCGGAAAATATATTTCGTGCGGCCAGAGTTTTGGCACAACCACGCGCATTCGTTGAAGAACTTGAGCTAAGGTGCCCGTTACGATTGCACGGCTCGGTTATCATCCAAGAAACTTGTCTAGACTATTGGGTGTCTTAGTTAAAGAAGGCCACCTAAACATCGATTCTATTTTTTATGTTATGAAAAAGCTTTGTAGCATTATGTTGAATGACAAATATTTTGTAAAGAATATTTTTTTGTGGCTCATTTGTTTCGATCTTTTCGAGGAAAATATTCCGACGAAACAGAAAATATTTCTTAATAAATGTATTTGTCGATTAATAAAAGTTAGTCCCTAGATTAAATTTCGTAGAATACGTAATTAATTTTTCATATGTAACAGGCAGTGGAAAATTCTAACAATTTTGAAAGAGAAGTTTAGCTCTTGGTTTATAATGGTATACATGGCAGAATTTGACAGGATAGATCGATAGATGGACATTCAATTAGCCAGCGTAAAGACAAAGGCTTGCAAAAGCAACCATTTATCGTAACACGAAGCTTCTTATACTTTACCACTGATCTGTATAAAACAATGGACAGTGGATGTGTACTAATGATAATGCACATCATTATATCTGAAAGTTAAAAGAAATTTAATTCTGGATTTCATTTTCTCAATTTACATCACAAATATCTTATTTTGTATAAAAAACAGTAATCAAATTATAACGAACAGTAATAGATGAATGAAATGAATTACGTAGAAAATGTATAAAACGCAATTTAATATTTTTTTCCAGATAGGCATGTTGTCAATCGTTGTGCCACCAGACTTTATCCCCGAAGAAACATCGAGCGACGTGATGGTGCGCGAGGGTGGACAGGTAAATCTTTTAATCACGTAGTGTTGCCACTTCAATAATCAAGAAATCTATTGATTGGTTTTAAACTCGGTTATGCTTGAATTAAATTATTAAACATTTTTTCGATTGACGATATTGAGAGACGAAAAATACCGTGAATGTTACTCAAACGTCTCAATAACCTGTTGCACGTACCGCGGCGGTATCGCGTATTTCCGTGGCATACGTCTAACGTAATACGTAAATACTTTTCCTTTCCTTTTTTTCTTATCAAAGCTGAAGCAGTGACGGTAGGGATGTCGCATTCTTTCCAGTATTTTCGGCAAAGCGCCTTTAAAACTGACTCGTATATAAGCGTGTTATATCTTCCCGGTGTACGATGGTTAAACCTCCACATAGGTGATTGGCTACGTACAAAGAGTATGAGGGTGTAAAATTCTCCATAGCTCCAATCGCGTTAGTGTTCAATTTCGATGAAATTCCGTAATTAAAACTAGTTTGCGTAGTCCAAATTTCGGGCGAGGCGCAATTAAAAAGCTACGATGAGATGACAACGGAACTCGCTATAATGTAGATCGGTAAAACCGTTCTCGGGCAGAGAATTTCGTGTAACGAGACCAAAACAGAATTCGTATTAACTTTCACGAATATCATTATAGAACTGGAGGGCTAACTTGCTGAGGATGAATAAAAGTTATATGCACGTACCGCAGTTTCCAAGATTTAAAACAAATGCATTTTTCTATAAATGAGAGATAGAGATTAGTATCTACCGGGTAATGAATTAATGTACATGTTTGATCGATTTTTTATTTCTTCATTAACATTTTATCACCTTCAAAATAAGTCGAGCATTGGAAAAACAAGACACAGGCTTATTACTTTTTTTAATCTTGTCTCCCTAGGGGAAATTAACACAAGCCAGAGCTAGACAGGAATCAATCTTCACTGATCTTCAATTTTCATTCATGCCTAAGCTGTACATGTCGTACCACACTTGGTCTTTACACGGTCTGTTTATCAAAATCCCGTTGCTCGTTCGAAATTCTCTTTTCTTACGCGACAGGATACGTTTCCTACTTTATCTGAATTTCAATACGCCCGGGACTTAAAACTTCTGAGCTCGTTTCCCGTTGTATCATCCCGGTTTAGAATACCCAGTCGCGTTTAGGATACCCGGCAGTGGCCCTAATTTAAAATTGATAAGGACATTTCCGCGACGACAAGATCGACAAAGCGATCATCTTCCGTTCTCTCGAAGAAAAGACTCTGGCAGAGAAAACGTCGGACGAATGTATTTGAAAGCAGGCAGGAAGTGAACAAGATTTTAAAGCTGATTGCGCTTGCCGATAGGCAATGTGCTACGAACCGATTGAATTTCAAGCATGCACGAGCCTTGCTCTTATTTTCGAATGAACCGCGAACGTTAAATCGGAGATTTGCCATTGTGTAATAGTAAATTGATTACGATTTGACCGAGAACACGGTAGACATTCTTTCAGCCAATCGATGGAACTTTGTCTCGTTCCGTCGAACGGCTAAATTAAATTATTGGAAGAATCTCGATTATTCGAACTCTGACTTCTTCGTTCGTACACCGTTCTCAGGACCACATTATAGTGTCTTTTTTTGATAAACGTGACTAGTATCAAGTTTAAAAATGTAAGGAACAATTTCGAAGAGAGGAAGATATGACGTGATCGATTCTTCGAAAACGTTGATAAGGTGGAGGACTGAGAAGGGCTAATATAAATAACTAACGGCCCTCGATGGGATAGAGAAAGAGAAAAGCCCGGGTCAGTCGGGCCTGGACCGAGATGTCGAACTGATTCTTATGCGATTTGGCATCTGTTAAATTAATATATTCGAATAAAGAGTTTCCTTCAGTCAAGGCTAATTTCTTATATTTAGGAATAGAATTTCTACAAAAACTCCTTCCAAAATACAATTCAGAGATTTGAAAATACGCTATAATCATGAACAGTTATTGCATATAAAATTAATTCAATTTCATTCTTGAAATCGTAAAAGTGTCACAATGCTAATAATTTGATTTATTACGCAATCGATGTTCCTCCCTACATATTTAAACGTTCTTCTATCGTTTCGCGTGATTCGCAAACGCGTGCAGAACGAACGTATTCATACGTGGAACGTAAAATAGTACATTTGTCACACTTACTATAGAGGGACAGCCGAAGCCGAAGTGCTCAGGTGGCATGTCCGCTCCTCACTCGAGTCCTCGAATCCTTCCGTTCACTGTACGTATACACACGTTCGAATCGCGCGACGAAGTTTGTTCGTTCAAACACCGGGCACGACTGCCCTCGAAATCCCCTTCGCCCGTTTCCCGTTCGACCTCGTAAAGCTTAACGTTCACCGATTCTCGAATTCGGAAACGATGTTCGCACGTACGTATGTTTTTGCGAGTAGCTGACGTCGAACTCGCCGATTGACCGATGTATAAAAAAAACGCATTTTTCGTAGCTCATCTTCATGGCAACAGTATCTATAATAAAAATAAACATTTACATAATATATGCTCATTTAATATATTTACATTATTATATGGTTTTAGGCACTGAGAAAATGATAGACATTATAATTTCGTTGTTGAATGATCTAAAAAGAAATTTCAGTACTAAGGGAATAGGCTGGTAGACCCCGATAAGGGCACGATAAGGCAGAATGTCACTGTTACCCAAAAAATTAGCCAAAAACATGAGTTTACAAGACTACACTTCTCGTTCTTATAAGAAAATTTTTAAGTTGTCAGATATATCTTTGGAAAGAAGAAAAATAAGTCTGGCGTACTCTCGTCATGATTTAATCAGAATATACTGATATTTAGTAATAGAGCATTATACGATGGAGGGAAGATCATAGTTACAATGCTTTCGTTTATAAGCAATTTTATATACAAAAGAAATTATACTGTATATGTCATACATACAAATGCATGCTCAGTTTTGCTCTTAAATGTGTATAATGCACATCATAATTATACAAAAAGAAGGAATTTATTTGTAAAAATTTCAAAGGTAGACTGAAACGTTTACCACAGGGCTAAAGCTCTTACCTAACCGTCGCGAATATGTTCAACGCTCACACACTGAAGTGTACTAGAACTATACTTCCATTATTCATAATCATATACTTTGTTTTAGAAACACAGATATCGTATGATACTCTGAAGTATACGTGTAAAGAAGTTACAATCCAAATGTCGATGTAAATACTTCAATCATTTTTTAGATTTTCATTAACATACAAACAACAATCTTTTCTCTTTATAAATGGTGTCTAACTTGATTTTTACATCTTTAGTTTCTCGATTTTGTTGCGCATAACGAAATTTTTTTTAAAGGTTTAAATGGTATCGAGACGAAAAAAAATTTCTTCAGAAAAATTACATGATGTTCGATGTTTCGGACGAAAATACTAAAGTTAATGAAAAATTTTCAAAACTGTTTATAACATTGCATTGATATCTTTTCACTCTTTCATTAAAATCGAAATCTGACCAAAATCAAAATCTTTCCTTGTTAGTATCGCAGCCTTAGAAATTAAATTATTTAAATTGAGATGTCTTCTAAATTACTAACGTTTCGACATATATAGCTGAGTACTTTTGTATAAGTAATGTCCAGCTGCATCGACTGAGGCATTAAAAAATACTTCGTTCTATTTTAAAAACCGACATATGATTTCTACGCGTCCACTGATGAAAATGCTAATAATACCAGTATAAACCGTACGTGATACCGTTCGCTAAGAGCAACAATAGTGAAAAAAATCAAGAAAGAAAAATCGGGTGAGACACCTTTTATAATAGTAAGATTTCTGACGAAATAATATATTTCGTACGAAAAAATATGGGATTATTAGTTAAAACTTAGGGAATAGAAAATTTAACAGAACCTATGAAATTATCGTGCGAGCTTAATAATCCCTCTCCCTACATAATAGATTTCCGCCACAAAATTTCACTGTGACGAAAGGTTGCGCTTTTGTTTTTCAAGCTACTTATGGTTTTCTTCCATTGAAATTGTTTCTTGATGCACTTACATATGAACGAAGGAACGCAGTACGCATTTCTATCAAATGACCTATAGAAAAATGCATTGTTTCTTAGCTCTTAATAAGTACGATCAGAAAAAACACGAGGCGAAAATAAAATTTCTACCGTTTGAATTCCCCGTTTGTCTGACGGATGATTCGTTTATCTCGCGCAATACGGAGGTGCTTTTCGAGCCGAATGGTATAATCTTGAGCGGATGAAATAGTTCCCTCTCAGGCGAACGAACCCGGGTTCACGGTTTTAATTTTTCCAAACATATTTATACGTGACCCGGTTCTACACCGCGGGCGGCAATAACGAAGTCGATTCTCTTTATAATTCTGGTTTCATACCACGTACAGGTGAAGTTAACGTGCCGTGCAAGAGGCGTGCCCCCGCCCCGCGTATCGTGGCGCAGAGAAGACGGGAAGAACATTATAATTCGGAAGCCATTTGCAGGAAGCGGCCTGAACCAGAAGTCTCATGGTAAGATTTAATATAGATGACGGCCGCTGCCATTTCGCCGATATAACCTGGAATATACAATTATGTTTTCCCCGAACCCGGCCGCTGGATTCACTTGCTATTTTAATTTCCTTATTTCACCGCACCCGTCGTACGTTTGATCTTGGAACTACCTAGGGTAACATTACTCTTTCCGAAATTGTTGAATAATACTTCGCACAGTGCGATGTCATGGGACATAACTTAAAAATTAACTTCTGCGTTGTCATTATCATTATTGGTCATTATTATTGGTAGGTTCTTGAGTATCCATTACTTGGATGAGAAGTGTAATGTGAAGATATAAACTAACGAATCACGATGCCCGTATTCATTGTACGAAACTATCAAAGAAATGACAAAAGTGTAATAGAACAATGGATAGTCCTCTACAACAAAATGAGGAATTGTTTCACCTCGTTAACTTCCTGAATTTGTTAGATAAATTGCGTTGATAAAAATGTGAAAATTAATTTGTGTTTCTATTCTATTTCAGAAATTATTAAGGTATTTAGGTCGAAAATTAATTAATTTAAAATTTATGATTTTTGTTCAAAAATCTCATGTACGTAACGCACTGTGTAACCCAAGAATCGATGGTAGTGAAAGTTTTTCTTGGATTTAGTTAGATTTCCAGTTGTGAAATTATGTATTTCGCTGTGCCTAGTAAATTTCCTAATTTCTGTCCACATCACAATTTCTACTCACTCGCTTTTCTTTTCTATAATTTTATGTGATCTTAAACCAGTGGGTAGAAATTTTGACATGAACGTAAATTGTGACATTTACTACATCAATTACATTACCATTATTAACTGTGCAGTAGCAAAAGCCTTTCGAATTTTAATATATTGCTAGCACGGTTAACCGCAAAAAGCCATGCGTATGGACGGTTTGTTGAACGATAACAAACGAACTTTTCAGCCGAAATTTTTCGCAGCGATGCCTATTAAAATCCCTATACCAACATCCACAGAAGCGAAAGGTGGCCAGTTTTTTAACAACACAGCGGCAGTATTCATGCAATTCTATTAAGCAACACTGCGTTGGTTCGGTTTGGTGGTTTCAAAAGCGTCGCGATGGTATAAAATGAAATCGTTAGACAGGACGCATCGTTATAGTGGAAACGATATCGGCGCATGAACGTCCTCGGAAAATCGTGGAACCACTTGACGGACGCGGTGGGTGTAATGTCGTGCTGGTCAGAGTTACCCTCACGTCCTTTCTACGGTCCCAACCCCCTAAACGACGTATTTAGTATTCACTTCAGCGTGGTGTTACTAATAGCGGGCGAATTTCAGAGCACTGTCGGCGACGAGGTGTAGGTACGCGAGTGCAACCTTTGCAACACGTGCTAAGTGCACCCCAGGCACTGGCAAAGGGGATAGCTTATTGTTGGCCTACAATGGCGATAATTATTAGGTATCGCGAGCGAAACTTGCGAACCCGCCCCAATATCTGCGATTTAATTATTGTAAGACGTCGATTTTCCTCTATATGCAGTACTCTATGCAAGAATCAGAGAGTACGAATGTACAATCGTGGACAAAAGTAAACGGATAAATAAAGAGAATATTTTTCATTGTATGTACTTTAATCGAATTTTCATAATTGCTATAAACTTAACTTTTATCTATTTTGTACCCTTATATTAATACGTAGTTTATTTAGTAAAAAAATTCAAACTAATATTTACAATTTTAGGGACGCCATTCACGTTTAACTAAGTAATCAACTATAATATTTGTTGGGAGTCAAAAATAAGTGGATACATACCAAATAGCATAATACAATAAATAAAATAAACAGAAGAGTTAAGGGAGTAGACTGCGATAGGGACGCAATAAGACAGAATGTCAATATTACTCACAAAATTGACCGAAAACATGGATTTACGAGATTACACCTTTCATCCTTATATAAGTAAATTTTTAGGTCGTCGATTCCTCTTTGGAAAGAGGCATGTTAAATCTGCCTTGCTCTGGTCATGATACCCTCTAACCATCTGGGAATGCTACTTATTAAATTCTCAATGTAAACTTCAACATTTTCAAATTCCAACTGCAAATTTCAGTTTTGCTGTTTCTCTTATTTAATGTATTATTTGTATAATTTATCAAACTGCTGCTACTCCACTGTAAGAATTATACATATAAATATTTGTCGGATCAATTATTGAAATTGTAGATATTTCTCAAAGGGATCGGTTTCGTAATAAATCGTCGACGTTGTACTTCTGTAATTACCGACTTGCTTCAAAATCTACGACGTGGCGACCTCGTAGGGAAATTAAAGTGAAACCCGATGATTTATGATTTACAAACTCATTAATTAGCGATTTCTGTTGGAACGGTTGGCTAGCGAGCCGGTAACCAGTTCGATGGATTTGCCAGAGTTCGTTTTCGAGCGGTAGATTTCTCGGCGAAATTCCCGTGTAATTTGTTTGAACAAGCTTGCTCATTTTTAGCGAAGAAGAAGGCCTGCAAATGAGATTCATTTCCGCTAACGGGACCGTTAATTGATTATATTCATCAAAGTTGATGATGATAAAAGTAGTCAGAATGATCAACTTCGTCCAATGAAACTTGAATTTCACGAAAGTATATAAGAACGCTGAAGGACACAATTGTCTCGGATTCTTAAAAAAGAAACATAATAAACACTGTTCCATCTACTATGATAAAATAACGCCAATAACTTTGAGGACAATGCAGCATTGTTTCCCCAATTAATTCCTCTTGCGGACAACGACTTGGCCGTGTCAAGTACCCCCGTAAATTTTAATAACGATCATTTCTACGCGTAACGACGTCAAAATTTAATAACATTGTTAACAGAAATTTCCTCCTCATAGCAAGGAGAATAGCGATTGTTTTTGAAACAGCGGGAACAGAGCGCGTTTACGTCTGCAGAAAGCGCGATAATCGTCTTATTCTCGTACTTATGTAATTATATCAGAAATTATATAAGTTAAAGTAAGTGGAGGGAAGGGGGCTTGTAAGAAATTTTAAGAAAATCAATGTTTTCGCGAGTCCAAGGCGGGGCGCAATAAGGAATAACACGCGAGGACAGTTTGTGCATTTCGCTGCAATATCCTCCCAGGAAAATAGAACAGGTGCAACAAATTGCGTTAAAACCCTTACTTTATCTGTACCACTTTTTCCTTGTCACTCCAAACATATTTCAGTATTTTGTATGTGAACGGAATTACTAACAAACACCTGATTTCACTTTCCATTTCAATTACTATAAAACACGGAAGCAAATGTAATACCTTCAAACTAATGTAATAATATTTTATGTATTGTACTAATGAGAAAACAATCAATTATTTAAACAATCAATTGTCATTTGTTTAAATTATATATATTTTTATCAATCTGGGCGCGCCGGTGACCGGTGACCCCCGTGGCATCCAACGTGTTAAACTTTCGATTAATTTATTCATTGATATTCAATCAGTTTTTCCAAAATGGATAATTGTATAAAAAATGAGTGGACCAGTGGATATTGAAATAGCTAACTCTAACGTAATTTCATATTTGATTAATTGTTATTTCAAGAGGAACGTAGAGAGAGAATATCTACCATTCGAATCAGAACATTGTCCGCTGTGTTTGTGATAGCTGACTTGACGACCTTCATCTAAAAGCGAACAAGTTTAAGTTAATTATGTTTTTGAAGAAGTTACGAAACTCGATGGAAGTTATTATCTGTTTAAATTAAAATTTCATATCGCGGAACAACTTGAACGTTCCCATCGTACTTCGATGTCGTATCATTGATTTCTTATTATCTCGATAATTGGATTTTGAAACTAGAAATTCAGCTTAAGTGTATTTAATTCGCGGAAGCAATTTAATCTGCCATGATATTACAAAGTAGAAATTAAACATCTCGTTAATTTAGCTAATATTAAATCCTATACAGACTAGCCGTATCAACGAAATTTTAACCAGTAATTACCGCTTTTAGTGACTCTGGTGGGCGAGTACGACGGCGAGGAGCTGAATCTGACGAAGATCTCAAGGAACGAGATGGGAGTTTATCTCTGTATCGCGAGCAACGGCGTGCCACCGGGAGTCAGCAAACGCATTTTTATCAATGTTCATTGTGAGTAATAGTGATTACGTCGGCCGATAATTTAACGGTTTTCCTTCGACGTAAGCGAAAGAAAATCGGTGCTAACCTGTGCTGGTATTACTGTGTGCACGGTTACAAACCAGGGATTCTGTTTCACAGTCCCGCCGGTAATTCATGTACCTAATCAACTGGTAGGAGCCCCACTGGGCACCGACGTGGTCCTGGAATGTTTTGTCGAGGCTTCGCCCAAGTCGATTAATTATTGGGTCAAGGATAACGGTAAGATCTCTCTATTGACCGTTTAGTTTCTAATTTGGTGCGACATACTCTCAGCGCGACGCTGAATAAAATATATAGTAATCTACGGATATATGGCCATCGGGAACGGGTTTGACCATATCCGAAGGGGTGGATTTCCTGCAATCGTTCGTCGTTCGTAATGTTTGAATAAATATAAGTAGATAGCACTCGATGCTAACAAAATGTCAAAGATGTTTTAAACAAAAGTTATAGGTACTGTTATTACCTACAAAAAAAAGTATTATACAATTTTCTTGTAAGTGTAATATTTTCTAAGTACTCACCATGAGTATTAGTATTCCTCAGTATAGGATTTTTTAGATAGGGTATCAGTTTCTTGTTAATGACTCGATACTTTTGAACCCAGCAAAAAAGGTTTTAAACAACAGTTGTAGATACTATTATCACCTACGAAATTTCAATATTCCCTGAGTAATAAAAGTCGACGAGTATAAAACTGAATCCTAAGTATGTTGGAAATAAGAATAAACATTGATAAGACTCGAGGCTCACATCGAGCGAAAACTTCCAAGAATCGGTGGGGATGATTTATGGCCACATATGGAGATTACTGTATGTAATAGTAGGCGTGTTAAAAAACAAACAGAAAACACTTTTAATATCTCCTTCATTGATTGTTGAAAAACAAGGCAATACTCATAAATAGAATACGGATTTTCATGCATTTATAAAAAAACACAATTATACTTAATTTGTGAACAGTGCACTCAACATGCAAAAGTATAGACTCTATTGAAAGCAACGTGGATGGTGAGATTCAATTAATAAATGCAGACAGTATGTAAATATCATTCTTCATTTCTCCCTTCCAGATATTTTATTTTGCATAAAAATCCGCTGCCTACTTACATAAAATTAATTAAGGAAAGTCAAATAGCAAATTGAAAAGCACTTCTGAAATGATCAAAGGAGGTAACGAGATGGTACCGTGCTTCAAGCATTGCTTCTCGACAGACAGACGGTATTAATTAAGGGAATTAACTCGCGCGATTAAAACAAATTACGCGGCCATATCTCACGCGGCCTTTTTTACCTCAAACGCGTGGGCGCGCGCAAGACCGAAGAAGAGGGGAACGGAACGGAGACGACGAGAACGCCTGTCCTCCTCTCGCAGACCTTAACAAGTTTAATATTTCCGGTGCGGAAGTTGGCAAAAAGTTGCAGACAAATGCGAGAGTGAATTACTTCTCGGCCTTTCGCAAAATATATTCTTCGAGCAGTTTGTAGCCGGTACGAGCAGACACGCTTTCGCCTCGGCGCAACTTCCACGGAACCACTCCGTCCCGATGCATTCGTATGTAATTTTCACCTCGCACGGCAAAATCCCATTGCCCCCTTTTTCTCTGCCCTTGCTCAGGTACATATGAGCATGTACACGTATACAGGCGTACATACAATACGTATGTATGTGCCGCACGTACATATGTACGGGAACGTTTCAGACTGTAATAAGGAGACTCGGGCGCGCGTTTAAGAAGTGAATTTTCGCATACTTTTATATGTCGTTCCGAATTCCCCCGCTCGTTTGCAATATTCTCCGACGACGTCGTATATACGCGCAACGCCCAGCTGTATTTCATATTTATTCTCGCGCATTGAAAATGCTGCGGCACGGTGCGTCGCTCTCGAGTCAATTCCTTCTTTCGTATGCCAGAACTGCTCGCTTTTCTCATATGAGTAAAATGGGAAATGAATTGGTCACTATTGCGAAATAATAAAAATTATTTTGCAATAGTCAGATGCATGCAAAACTTAAAGAAACGTACGATGTAGGTGCGTGATCTTTAAATTTGTCTTTATTTGCACAGCGATGATCATATCCAGCCAACAGCACGACGTACAGGCGATCGTGAAATCGCAGTTCGAGGTGCGAATGGTGTTGACCATTCGCAATTTGCAAAAACACGACGTGGGAACTTATAAATGCGTGGCCAAGAATTCTCTTGGTGATGTCGAGAGCAGTATTCGACTGTACGGTAAGTGTGTGTAAAGTTAGTTAATATTTTAAGAACATAAGTAAGTACAGCAATCTCCGGATGTATGGCCACCGATCTGGGCAAGGATTGGCGATATATCCGAAAGGATATATCTCCTAGAATCGCTCGTCGAAATAAGAAAAATATGCCGGTATTCAGAGTCGTCACTTATTTTTAAGATCGTCTTAAGCATGTCCTACAGAGGCAAATTAAGCGGTAAGCGGACTAAGCGGCCGCGTAGGGTTCCGGATAGCCAAGGGGTCCCGGAGAAGCTCGGAGGTCTAAATATATCTTAACTTAAAGA